AGATCTTGTGAAATTTTTCTCAGAGATCTTTTCTTTTTCCTTTCTGTGTTCTGTGATCCTGGTTCCCAGCTGTCTCCCTGTTTCACCGATATATGGCTTTTCACATTGGGTGCATGGAATTTTGTACACCACTCCAGCCTTTTTTGCTTCTCAACTTTGTCCTTCGGGTGAACTAAAACCTGTCTGAGGGTGATTGGAGGTTTAACCACTGTGGCTACCCTGTGTTTGGTGAATATACGTTGTATTTTCTCCGTGAATGAGTGGACATATGGGACAGTCAGCACTCCCCTTGATTTTTCTTGTGCTTTTTCTTTCTTGGATTTATATCTTTTCTAATAGCTTTCTTTCTGTTCATTATGCTCTTTGACCTTCTTTATCGCCCAATCCGGGTAACCACATGTATGGAGGGCTGTTCTTATGTGTTCTTCCTCTTGTTTACGGTCTTCTTCTTCCGTGACAATGCTGTCACTCCTTTCCAATAACGTCCGTATCACAGCAAGTTTGTGCTGAAGTAGATGATGCGATTGAAACGACAGGCACTGGTCTGTGTGTGTGGCTTTCCTGTAAACCAGTAGTTTGATAAATCCGTCCTCCTTCCTGGTGATAAGGATGTTCAGAAACGGGATCTGGCCATTTTCTCTGGTTCGTGCGTGAATTTGATGCTGTTTGTTTTGTCTATTCCGTTGAGATGATCTGTGAGAGCTTCCAACTTTCCCCTCTTAATGATTTCTAGGATGTCATCCACATATCGTTTCCATAGCTTAGGTTTACAGTCTATGGGAGCAGTAGCGATGGCCTATTGTTCTAGCCTGATGAATTTCTTCAAGGACATACAAGTATAACCTTTACATCAACGGCATGGAGATCGAAGTGAATCCCACTCTCAAGATTCTAGGAGTTACGTTGCATAGAAAGATTTCCTACAAGGCCAGATTTCGGCACAGTTACAGAGTTTTTACTCCAAGACCTCAGCTCTTAAACGAAAATCGCGCTTTGTCCACGTGAACACTGTGATTCTGCTGTATAAGAAGTTTCTAGTTTCACATTCAGAATACTGGGGTACAGTTTTTGTTGGTCTGGGTAAGGTGCAGAGCGATCGACTCAAGGATGCTAATTATTATATCTTATTAAGAACTCTGTTTAGGTCTAAGAATGAAAGCTAGGAAAGCTTATGAATACTTTGAAACACCGTTGTTATTACCAAGCTCTGGTGTTGATTTAGAAATGTCTTAATAAAAAAATTATAACTCAATAGGTCCAAACATACATCCCTTAAAAGGGATTTATGCTATAATTTAAGGGGTAAGGGAAGTAATCTGGTACAGCCTCATTTTAACACGGAGTCCTTTTCATTTATAGCTAGCAAGTTATGGAATAAGCTACCCTTATATATTATAAACTCCGATAATCTGAAAGTGTTTAAAAAGGCTCCACAAAAGTTCAATTTATAATCTTTATTCGACTTTAATCTATTTTAATCTCTGTTATCATGGTTTGTGGCCTTTTTCTGAACATCCATGTTAAATTTTGGCTCTTTTTCAAAGTTTTTTTTTTTTTTATGATGATTACATCTTATGTAGTTTAAGTTTTTTACTTAGGTTTTTACTCTAGTTTAGTATATCACGAACACCGGCGTTCGAACGAGTTATTACTGTTAGTTCCTAGATGTTACGTGTATCATAAACTACTTACTACTTACTTACTGAAGGTACCGACTTTCTTTTAATTCAACAAAACAAACATATCGGATATTATTAGCGGTTCAAAAAATTGGAGAGCAAATTCGGCGCAATTCATAGTACAGTGTATATCAGGCTCTCTCTTCCTTACCTTTTTCGCAAATGTAATGAGTTATATCAGAACATTCCTGGTCATTCCATCCACCGTTGTGATACCCAAACGGACGTATTTCTACACACTCCTCAGTAAGATTGTTGGGTTCACGGTAACCCCAGTGAGTGTAGTTGAGTCGAGATCCATCCACCCACAACCAGCGCTTTTTGTCACGGGGGTTCCTGTGTAAGCCTATCCAAGTTACTTTCTTTTTTTTCCTTATGTAAGGTTTAAGAGCTTGATGTTCGGCTTCTGAGCTAATTATAGCCAGTGTAGAATTCAGGTCTTCACAGGCCTTCTTTGCTGCTTGCCAATTCAGGACGTTCTCGGAAAGCTTGTAGCAGGACGTGAGGTTTTTAAACCAGCCACTTGGACATAATGCTGATGACAAAGCAATGAATACAGTATGAAGATCGTATTTCAAGAGTGGCATTTTCATCAAAAGTATTCACACCCGTTTGACAGAAACGTTGAGAACGGTGAGCACTTTAGTTAACGATTGTTTCCGTGAACGAAATTTTCAAACGGGATGGTTTGCTCTGGGGTTGAGGACTCCCATATAAAAGTGACGGGGATGCTCGTCGGAAAATTAAAGGAGACTATGTGTGTGTGACTCTATCCCAGCCCAGCATGTTGCGCATGCCAAATTTTCTCCTTGTACTGAATATGTCACAAAAAAATGTTAAAACTAAGAAGTAAGTGTGGGGCAAAAATTCTAAATGCCACATTTGCATACCAAAACATGGGGTTGGGAAGTAAATTTCGCATTTACCACCCTTGTACCATCTTTACTCGTCAGCTTTGCCACAATTTTGCGACTTATCTGCCGAGAGAAAATTTGTGCAGATTCAATTTTTCGTCCAGTGGAGGCTTCTGCATATGCCGCCGGGATATGTTCAAAAACGTTATCACGCATTGAGGAAAACGTTTCTATAGAGTAATATACACTTGATCTCTTTAATACTGACACCTGAAAGTAACTTGGAACGCAGAGGTCGGGTAACCCTTTGAGAATTGAGTTAGACTGGCTTTTGTAATAATCTTATAATTTTATACTTCGGCCTCTAGTCAATAAT